TCTTCTTATACATTAGGGGTGCCATGTGTATCCACCAACACACTCTCCAATGGTAGGGTGCCATGTGTCCATTATGGACACCATTATGGCACCCGTAATATACTTGTAGCACTTCCTTTTTTAGTTTTGTTCGAATTTGTCTATTGATTTAGGATTTTGATTTGATTAGGATTTGTTTTAACTCTTAAATATGTAATGAGGGTTTGAAACTCTACGTTCATTTGGATTAATAATAATTCAATTCTTCTGTTATTTGGTAGATTTCAATAATTCTCAAGTTCGTTCGAGCGAAATTCGAACAATACCTGTTTATGCGTTAATAGCAAAAGAACCCCCCTTGGTGTACATAATATTTTTTACAGATGTTGTATAGACAACAGACATGATGGGGTCCGCACAATTTTTTTAATACATGTGGGGCCCGGCCCCTTGTGAGCGGCATGTAAGGCTCCCGTGAACAAATCCTCTGTACATGAGGATTTATTCATAACAAAGTCCTTTTATTATCATTCATGCTTTCTTCCCGCGTAAAAAAGTTTACTTACCTTAATGGCATCTGCATTGGTTATGCTAAACAAACATATTTCACGCCTAAATATACACAAGAAGCAACTTTAACAAATATTTATATCACTCGATCATAATATTCTGCACCAAGGGGATACTAGGGGCAAATCAAAATTAACTCCCCTGATTGAGGGATACTAGGAATGATTGAATTTGGGGATGTCCCGGTTCCACCTCCGACATCGACGATCGACATGGGACCCACGAATCCTTTGTATGTCTCAAAAATTTCTTCATTATTATGGTCGAATGATTTGACATTTGCTTCATTCAAAATCTTGTTAAATCTTGGATTTGTGACCGGGTACTCAAATGCATTCATTCCATATGCTTTTTTGAATGAAATTCCACCCTCAAGAATTGCATCTTTTAGGTGGTACCTATAATTAAAGAGATTATGAGTAAATTATTTCTTGGAAAAATGAAATGCGCACAATCGGACTCAATTTTTAAGATGTAAACGCTTTTTTATATCAAATGGTAAACTTCAATAAATTTTTAGATGAGTCGGTTCAATAAGAAGTTAGAGTCAAAAATATATTGAATTCATTGTGTCATGATCCTTTTATGAAATGTTTGAAAGAATATGAAGGAACAATACACTGTTAAGAAATATATGATTAT